AGATGAACACCAACACAAGCTTATACAGCAATTCAAACGATATGTGGATATGCAAACGTTTATCATCACAGCCTACCCAAAACTGATAATTTTTACAAACATTTTGAAATGTTTCCAGAATTAACCATAAAAAACTTGTTCAATACATTTTAAATACACATTGTTTCGAGGTCAATTAAATAGGGCCTATACCTGAGACCTCAGCAGGTTGCTGTTTACCCCTTCCTTTGGAGTCTTCTCCATGGGTTAGAATTCCTGCAAGAGAGATTTGCAAATGTCACGTGTGCCGAAACAATGTTGACACTATAATCAATAACATTTGAGCAACTTTGAGAATGACTCAAAAACTTAAGATTTCCTAAGCAGACTACTTCGCACTTATATAGAGCTCATTTTGCAACACCTAGATGCCATTTTCATGACGTGTTGAAAACGTTTTTGAATATAATTCATTGAGGCTAACTCTTCAATGTACATGTACGAGTTTCGTTGCACTAAACAACCACCTCTGAACAATCCCAGTTGTTTCAACAGCCACCTCGAAACGGGAGTATGTTGGTTTTTTTGATTGTTTGTTTGTTTTCTATTTGTACCTTTGGGCAGCCGAATATGGTAATTTTAAACAACCCTGGCAGTTCAATTTTAACAACAAACTCGTTGAACTATATGCAGTGGCGCCGCGAAAACTCACAAGATGTGCATACTTACGGAAGCCCGTTGGGACCAGGTACGTCTTTCTCTTTCAAAGCAGTGCATTTCTCTTTCACAGTGGTACGTTTCTCTTTCATAGTGGCTACAATCCCGGCCAAAACTCGCTGGGCCCCGGCCACCCCGGCCCCGACCAATGTTGTCTTTCATTGCGCGGTCTGTGCTGAAGCGCGAGAGGACAACATTGACCGGGGGAATCCCTTGTGTGGACGTGTCCCAACCATTTTGGCCGGGATTGTCTGAATGTATGTGCCCTGGATTAGGTGGAGATGGAGGGTGTGGACCGGGGAACGGGGGACTGGGGAGGGTATCAACTGGAGGCCGCGCCTTATCTCGCAGCCGCAACTTATTAACTTGCGGCCGCGGCCGCGAGATAAATAAATCGCGGCCGTGACTTGGAGAGTCGCGGCCGCGACATAAATAAGTCGCGACCGTGACTTGGGGAGTTGCGGCCGCGACATTAACAAGTCGAGGCCACGAGATAATTATACTTAGGGAGAAATACACCCCTGTAAAAAAATGGACTTGCCGCATAAAAGGAAGATACACACGTTATGAAAGAGAGGCTAGTAATCATGAAAGAGAAACGCACCGCTGTGAAAGAGAAAGACGTGCCTGGCCCGAACGGGCTTCCGTACATACCTCTTAACCACTGTGTAAGATCGATTCCGCCAACTTTATTCAACTGCTTGGATAGTTTTTCAATCTGGCAAAGGCTTGGGGGATTCCGTTGTTTCCACTCGACGAGCATGTTAAAGATTGGATCTTCCAGGTGGTGTAGACTGTCCTCCTTGAACTTGGAGATTTGTGCTTCGTCGAAACCAAGAGATGCAGCCAAGGGCTCCCAATCCGGACTAAGTTCACCAGCCAGCCAGCGTAAGTGTCCATTATTTAGCTCTAAAAGATCATGTAACAAGAAGTTAGTTTTAATATCAACTTTGATTGACGGAGATTTAGGGATCCACCACTCATAACCACGGAGGTGAGCCCAATATTCACGTGTATTGCGCGAACTACCAAGGGCGCTGTGTAGAGTAACAGCTACACATCACTTTGGTCATCTTTAAAAAGGGGAGACAGGATGCGATTAGTCTGGAAATAGGATCATCAATACCTCGCTGGTTTCTGAGAACTGTTACCACTCGTTAATATAAAAAATAAAATAAAATGAGCAGCAGGTCCAAATGTGCAGCTTTCACACACCATTTTAAACACATTATGTGGATGCAATGAACAAGACTCGACGTAGAGCCTATCCAAAATCAGGTATTTTCGCAAGTATGTTAACATTTTTTTGAGATGTAACCATCCAAATTAAGTCTTGTTTAAAATTATAATATTAAGGATCATGTATCGAGTTCAAGTAGGGCCCATACCTTTGTACCGAAGAGGCTGCCGTTTACCCCTTCCTTGGGAACCTTCTCCAAGGCGTGGAATTTCTGCAATTTCAAAACCAGTGAGAGATTTGCAAATGTCATAATTGAGAATGAAATATGTTGACACTATTAGCAACTTTTGAACAACTTTGATATCAATTTTGATATTCCGATGAACATATCCTACTTGGATGTATGTGAAGATTTCTGCACCTTTGCATAAAACCCGGTGCACCGCAGATTCCCATCTAATGAAAACAAGAAAGACATGCATACCTGACTGCAGCTCATGAGCAAGATCCTCTCTGCCAACCATTATCAAGTGCTTGGACAACGTTTCTATCTTGCCAAGGCTAGGACAACGTTTAATATTGTTTCCACTCGAGGAGCATGCTTAAGATTCGGGCTTTTATGTGATGGGATTATCATACTTGAACTTGGGTATTTGTGCTTCGCCAAAACCGAAGGATTTAGCAAAGCATTCCCGATCCGGACCAAGTTTACAAGCCAGCCAGCGTAAATGCCGATCAGTTAGTTCTAAAGAGATCAAGTAACCGAAAGTTAGTTTTAAATATCATTTTTGATAGACTGAGATTTACAAATCCACCAATCACTGCCACTGTATGCAGTGCCCTCATTGAAAAACCTCCCCAAATAGTCTAGTTTAAGATAATACTATATTTTGATCTTGCATGGAGTTTAAGTATATGGCCTATACCTTGGGACTTTACAGGCTGCTGTTTGCTCTTTCCTTTGGAGTCTTTTCCATAGCGTGGAATTTCTACAATTAAAATATCAGTGAGACATTTGCAAATGTTATGTGCTGAGAGGTATTTTGACATTATAAGCGAGAACGGTAACCACTCGTTAAGATTCATAACTAGATGAGCAGTAAACGCCCAGCTTATACGGCATTTTAAACACTGGATGGGTGGAACAAGCACGTATATAAACTTTAAAAGAAATGTGTTAACAAGTATTTAAACATCTTTTTTTTTTTAATTAATCCATCTAATATATAAGGCCTAGTCTTAGATAATAAATGTGAACTAAGGATCTTATATCAAGAGTTTATAGGGCCTATACCTGACTCCTTCACATGCTGCTGATCAACCGTTCCCTTGGAGTCTTCTCCAAGGTGTTGAATTTCTGCCATCTTATATTGACAACTCAACTCACGTTTTGAGAATCTGCAACGTTATCAGTGCACAAAACAAATTCATAATATTGGAAGAATAGTGTACGGCATATACGGAATTGTGCCTTTGACGATGCAAGCATGGTATTTCGCACACAGTCAGAGTATGTCATGAGAAAGATATTTGGCTGTGGGGCCATCGCAGATTTGTCTTTTGCAAGATATTGGTATAATAAGAAGCAATGGCAGCCATTTTAAATTTTTGAAAAAATTGCTTGTTATCCCTATATTTATTTAAAGGACAAATAACTGCAATGATCCTATCGCCAAATACTCTGACAGTGTGCCAAATGCCATGCTTGTATCATCATCAAAGCCACAATTCCCCCTATCTCCCCCACCTGCCCCACTGATTATTTCAAATCACTTTTGGCAAGACGATATGGCAAACCCTGCTGGGCATGAAGTGGTTAAACCTTATCTCAAACGAAAGATGGAGATGATTGGCAGACGTTGGTGTCTTACAGGTGATGAGGTGATGAGGCTGGTACCATATTTCAATAGGGGGCGCTGTTCATGTTCGACGATTATTAACACTACCTTACAGAATGGCGTACAAATACCCCCCATCTAAGTTGCCCCTGTCCGTTTTTTGAACAGACGGACATTATACCAGTACATTTTTTTTTGTCTCAGCGGGGGGGGGGGGGGGGGGGGGGGGGGGGGTCGGAATGTCGGAATCATTGTTCATATGCAAATTACTCACCAGCGTATTACAGTTCTGTAGAACTTCACTAAAACAATGGTCCCGACATTTTTGGTTTCGTTTCTTTTTTACTCACCCTGTACTTTCAATTTTTGCTTTGCCATATGATGAAGGGTATTTTGGTGCCTTTTTGGTTTTGATGCTAATGCGAGTTTCATTTGAGCAAAACTTATGTCATACCGGACAGAAACCTCAATGTTACAGCTATTTCAGCACAAACAGGTTGCTAGATTATTGGATATTTTGCTGTCGATAATATCTTTTCTTTGCTGATTCGTCGTTGAGTCAGTAAATGGAATCCAGAAGCCAATGAGCGACCCTTTCTCACAAATGTTTTCAATTTTGGGCTGACAATTTAAACAGAAAACCCCTAAGAGTGGTGCGACATAGGGACATAATTGTGCATTTTGTGATAAAAGCATAAAACTTGGCATGTGAGGTCTTCATACCATTACAAAAAAATTCAGATATGGAGGCATTTCATATCTGACCCCTGGTGACCTTTGAGGGGTCAATGACCTTTTAATACTCTACTTATACCTATTGTTCTTGAAAACATCACCTTCCTATGACCTTAATCTAGTCATAGTCTTCATACAATGTAAATAATGACCCAATGCGAAAAAAAATCACAGTTGACCTTTGATGACCTTTCAGAGGTCAATGACCTTAGTATTAACTGCACTAACTCTATTTATAGTTATTTATACGATATACCCTTAAAACCCCAATTTTTTCAAGACCCAAGTCATAATGTTAAGTGGCTCATGCTATGAAAAGAATTGTACATGTAGGGAATCTCGCATCAGAACTCTGATGGCATTCAAGGGGTCAATAAACTTTGCGTATTGTTGTGTCTACATGCATTTGTGATATAGCGCCCTCCAGTGTTGGAAATGTAACAGGCCATGTGCGTGGAACAGGAAAATACAAGTTGTACGTGACTACAAAGTTGTGTCGTTTTGTGAGTACTTTTTCATACAATTTCGGGGAATATACCACTTCGGGGAATATGGCCCACTTGCATCCACATCCACCGTTCCTTAATTCCCCAGGAACGCCGCCTTTGCCGTGGAAACAATGGCGTGGTTTGTTCGAAACATACATCATTGCTAGCGGGGCTGAGAAATACTCCGATGAACGCAAACGGGCTTTGCTTTTGCAGTGTTTGGGACCTGAAGGTCAGCGGAATTTTGGAACTTTGCCTACTACAACTTCGGCTACCAATTCGCCGTCATCCAGTGCGGATGGAACCGCTCCAACCCAGCCTACGTACGCTGACACATACGCCCGATTACAGGCTCATTTCCAGCCGACGGTGAATGTGGTCGCCGAGCGTTACCGATTTCGGCAGCGGGCCCAACGGACTGATGAGCCTGTGGAACAGTATGTCATTGCATTACGTCAACTGGCGGTGACATGCGACTTCGGATCACTCGCTGATGAGATGATTCGAGACCAGCTGGTGGAGAAAACATGCTCCTCAAGGATCCGCGAGAGATTGCTGCTTGAGCCCAAACTGACTTTGTCATCTGCATTGACACTGAGTCAACAAATGGAGTCAGCTTTTCGCGAGTCCAAGTCCATCTCCAACAGTGCTGCAAGCTTCGATTCTTCCCAAGCTTCGAACAGTACTGTGCATGCTACGCGTCTTAAGCAAAAGTCAAGTGCTTCAAAGCCCCGTCGTCAGCCACGTACTTCACACGCACAGGGACATGGTTAGCCCAATACCCCTACTACTTCTTCACAACGTACACCTACAGTACAATGCTATCGTTGTGGAAGTCCAAGCCACAAAGCAAACTTTCCTACCTGTAAAGCTAAGAATGTGGAGTGTTCCAAATGCAACAAAATGGGGCACTTTGCACGTGTGTGTAAGTCTTCAGGACAAGTTAGACAGCTAGGTTTTGAGGATGATAATAGTGACACTGAACTACATGTACTTACCGTGAGCAGTGTAGGTACATCTCAGTCAGCCAGCATCACATGTACACTCACATTGGGTCGCGACATCAAGGTGCCAATGATTTCGATACCGGTTCACCAGTTTCCATCCTGCCACTTGTCACATTCGACAAATACTTCCTACGCGAGGCTCTACTACCCCCTCGGGCAAAGCTCACAACCTACTCCCATCAGCCAATAGCCATCAAGGGATGCTTCCGCACTTCAGTCTGCCTTGGTGACAGTCATCATGTCCCAGCAGAATTTTACGTCGCAGAATCTGGAGATCCGATCCTTGGGCTGGACATTATCCGCAGCCTTTCGCTTACACTCAAGCAAGACAAGGTAGTGCACGTTCCAGTTCACAAGGTGTCGTCTGCACCTGCAACTACGCCTGAGCCTACAGCTACAGCTACACCTACGCCTACACCTACAGCTACAGCTACACCTGCAACTACACCTGCACCTACCAGCAAACCATCTGCACATACAGAACAGCATGCTCAATACATTCGCGCTTCGTTCCCTGACTTACTGAAGGGAAAAGTGGGTTTGGCTCGCGGGTTTATCCATCGTGTCAAGACACGGCCTGATGTTACACCGACTCAACAGAGGTTGAGGCGACTACCCTTCGCAGTTCGCGATCGAGTCAAAGCAGAACTACAGCGGTTGGAAAGCGAGCACATAATCGAGCGAATTGATGCGAGCGAATGGGTATCGCCCATTATTGTGTCCTACAAGAAATCAGGCGCAATTCGCTTGTGTGTGGACTTGCGGCAAGTCAACCAGGCAGTCGTCATCGACAAATTCACACTGCCCGACATACAGGAACTTTTCTCCAAACTTCGGGGTGCTACGGTATTCACTACCCTCGACCTTAACTCTGCCTACCACCAGCTATACTGCTTGCAGATGAATCGCGTGATCTGACTGCATTTATTACTCTGGAGGGACTTTTCCGGTTCAAGCGAGTTTGCTTTGGACTTGCATCGGCACCTGCTGCCTTTCAGAAACTCATGAGCACAGTTTTGGCTGGACTACCAGGGGTTCAGTGTTACCTGGATGATGTCGTATGCTAGATCGTGACCAGGCAGAACGTACACGACCAGAACCTTACTGCAGTGCTCCAACGTCTACAGGACATTGGACTGAGACTGAATACAAACAAGTGCCAGTTCAACGTTGCTTCACTACGATTTCTCGGACATGTCGTGTCAGGTAACGGATTACAGCCTGATCCTTCCCACGTTGAGGCCATCCTACACGCGCCATGCCCCACTGACGTCATAACATTACGCTCATTCTTGGGGTTAGCATCGTACTATGCTCGATTCGTACCAAACTACTCCACAGTCATCGAGCCGTTACACGCACTCACTCGAAAAGACGTGCAATTCTCCTGGACGCCGGATGTGCAACACAGCTTTCACACGGTGAAAGAACTCATCGCTAACTGTGTCACACTACGCTTATTTGATCCTGATTTGCCAGTGATCGTGTCTACTGACGCCTTTGCTTACGGCCTGGGAGCTGTGAAAGGAAACTCTGAATCACCTATCGCGTTTGCATCACGAACACTCACCGCAGCTGAACGAAACTACTCTGTTGGTGAAAAAGAGGCCTTGGCGTACTGATCATCAGTCACTTACCACTCTCCTGTCTACACGCGGAACAGGACGTCAGTCCATGAGAATCGCTCGTTGGGCTGCTCGCTTGCTACGATTCAATTACAATGTAGAGTACCAGCCAGGTGTTCACAACAAAGTAGCCGACGCACTTTCGCGCCTTCCCCTACATACTACCGTCCCAGTTCAAGATGATGACGAGGAAGTAATCATACAGTCAATCAATGTACTGTTGCTGAACACTACGGTGAACAAAACCGACCTGCAACAAGCGGTTTTAGCAGATCCTACACTCCAGCGGGTAATTTCGTATGTCATCTATGGCTGCCCTAACAAGAAAGCTATTGATGGATTACTTCAGCCGTACTCGATGATTCGCGATGAACTGTCAGTTGTAGAGGATCTCATGACCGTTTCGTGATACCAGAGAGTCTGCAGAACAACCTGATTTCACTTGCTCACGAGTCGCACCAGGGAATCGTACGCTGTAAACAACGCCTCCGTGACTGTTATTGGTGGCCTTGCATGGATCGTATGGTCGAAGAGGCCATACGCAACTGCTTCACCTGCCAATCCAATGACAAAACTGCCCGAACTCGGACTGCTCCACTTCAACCTGTGCCGTTGCCAGAGGGACCTTGGCAAAACGTCGCGATTGACATCACCGGACCTTTCGAAAAGGGTCCCCAGGACTGTAGATTTGCTATAGTTCTCATCGATTACTACAGCAAATGGCAAGAAGTTGCATTTGCTCGAACTGTCACTTCTAGCACAATCATTTCGATGCTAAATACGGTTTTCGCACGCGAAGGACTGCCCAATGAAATTGTCACTGACAACGGAGTACAATTTACTTCATCTGAGCTTGAGAACTTTCTGCACAACTGCGGAATCAAACACTACAAGTCGTCGCTTTACTACCCAAGGGCAAATGGGGAAGTAGAGCGTTGGAATAGGGTTCTCAAACAGACCCTACAGCTTGCTTCACAGAAGAGGAGAGGGCGGAAAGAGGCAGTTGTAGAACTACTCTCTGCCTATTGTTCAACGCCACACCAGACAACAGGGAAGTCACCATCCGAACTACTGCACAATCAGAAGCTGATCACGCGTATGAACATTCGCCACGATAAGCCACAGCAGCAGGATGATGCTGAACTTCGCAGTCGTGTTGCACAGAGACAGGAAAAATCTCGCAGCTACACTGACTCAAAGCGTGGTGCGGTTAATCCAAAGTTCAAGCCAGGAGACTTTGTACGCGTGAAACGACCAAACAAAGGGACAACCAAATTCTCTACTCCACAGAAGATTGTCAACACTAAGGGATCATTTACTTATGTGTTAGAGGATGGAAGAGTCTGGAACGCTTCAAAATTAAGTCTATGCCCTGTAGAATTTATAGCACAGGGTTAAAGGGAATATACAACATTTGCAAACATCGAAAAATAAAACTACCAAGTTTTTGCGAAATACCTTAATAGGATGTTGGTAAATGACAGTCTAAAGCATCCTGTAAAATTATGGCACCTGGTATACTGTCATATTCAAGAAAAGTGGTATTTTTGTATCAATTTCCAACGCTGATCGGCCGATCAGCGTTGGAAACAACTGGCTTTTTTTTCAAATACTGGCCCCAATGGACCATTGCACTTGTTTGCAATCGATTACAAACCTATGAATGGGTACGAGCCAGCTAGACTGGTTCCCTGACCTTACAATTCCCCAATGTATGTAAACTGCTCTGTTTCTTCTTATATGGAGTCAAGGAACCAGACTACAGGAAAATGATCGTTTTTCTTGGTTTTTATAGCATTGTCGAACCCAAAACCTCCAAAAAGTCAGTGTAACTATATTTGCTTTATATTTCCAACCCCCCAATTCCATCCATTTCTGAAAATTACAGCCAAAGCAAATGATGTATATTCCCTTTAAAGCTCAAATGGCATTCAAAATCCCACAGCAGAAACCAAGCCTGTGGCCGGGGATGGTCAAGTTCGACATTCAACCAGACCTCGAAATCCCCCAATGTGGTCAAAAGATTATGACATGTAGTCCAGACCCTTTCATACATATGTTCCATCAGTCAAGCAGTTAAATGACTTAATCCAGGATAATATGGACTCATGTAATTGGGACAGATAAATCTTATCGGACACTAGATTCACCATATTTACTCACTAGGGGACTCTGAACTTTTGCTAAGTTACTTCGGGCTTTGAGAAGAATAAGGCTTGCAAGTTGAAACACCGAATTCACAGTTTGCTCATATTGTTGCTAATTTTACTTAATAGTTGTTACTCTAGTTCTTTCTTAAAGAGGAGGGGAGATGTTGTGTCTACATGCATTTGTGATATAGCGCCCTCCAGTGTTGGAAATGTAAAAGGTCATGTGCGTGGAACAGGAAAATACAAGTTGTACGTGACTACAAAGTTGTGTCGTTTTGTGAGTACTTTTTCATACAATTTCGGGGAATATACCACACGTATCCTATTTTTAGATAATAAGAGGATTAACTATTCAAAACATCACTTTTTATTACCCATAACTACATTTTGGGTATTACTGCCATGATATAAATTTTCAGATATGTAGACATTTTATATTTGACCTCGGACGACACTTGCGAAGTCAATTAACTTTATGTACTCTAATTGCCGTTATATATTTTGACCGACGTCCAATCAGAGCAATACTTTAACAATTAATCAACAACATGTCATACATTCAGACCCCAAAGAATGTTTTTGCATGACCTCTAAGGGCAGACGCAAACGTGAAAGAATATATGCAACCAAATCGGACGAGCATCTTTCTCTTACAGTGACCATTGGTTTTGGTAAAACGTGGCTATCAAAGTCCAGCTGGATACAACAGGGTGTAATAAGTACACAAGAGTGAATTTTGCTTGATATATACATTGTCCATTACAAAACAGACCCACAGATTTCTATTCCAATCTCATCATATTGCGTCTGCCAATAAAACAAGGAGAAACGAGGTCAGAGGTCAGCTGGTCTGAAATCATAATGTTACGGACAGTCTATGCACACTTTTCATGCTTTTCTTGTCATTGCTTTCTGGCACCAGTGCTCCGGTGGCGCGCACCTGACCTGGTTTTGGGTCTTGCTAGCGCGCGCTCCGGAAATAAGCTCCGGAAGTAGGTTGCTTAAGTGGGGTTCTTTTGTTCACTTTCGTGGGTAGGGCTTGGCTTGATTCCAGGGTTGGATAGAGTTGCTACAATTGTATACATTTGTTCAGACTGAGTGCATGTCTATGCTGGGAATTGATTAGTTGCAATTCTGGTAGCGGTGCGGCAAGTTGCCTGCAGAGTCCGCTTGGCGAAATAAATGAGATCTTCCTTCAGAGTTAGAAATCCCGTCTGTCTGTCCCATTTTTTGCGTTTTGCCGGATTTGGCGGACAAGAGCCCAGTAGGATCCCGCTACAATAATATGACTGTGAACTAATAGGTGCAATACCGTTCTTTGGCACTTTTGACTCTTGGGTCACAAATAAAATGGTGTTTTTGCGAATAAATATGATAAATAATGGCAACCTCAGATATACTAAGTTCATTGACCTCTCCAAAGGTATCTTTACGTCAGATATAATGTCCCTATGTCTGAAAATTCTTTTCATGGCACCAAGAGTCAAGCTTGAGACTTGAGTCAGAAAAAAAGTGGCATTTACAATATATGAAAATCTTATTTCAAATATCCATATGTAGGCTATTGTTTTACAAAGGTCATGACATCTCGTAAGGTGACCAGAGGTTAAATATGAAATGACCTATATGAGAGTTCTCTTTTTAAATTATAGCATGAACATCTTTCGTTTAGAAATGAGTATTTAGTCGAGTAAAAAGATGCGGTTTAAAGTAAAATCTTACAAATTGCTATAAAACAGGTTTACAAAGGTCATTGACCTCTCAAAGGTCACCAGAGGTCAGTTATGAATTGTTCAACATCTGATCATTATTTTCATTATATGAAGACCTATGACATAGCTTTGGGTCATAGGAAAGTGAACTTTTGAAGAACAAAAGATATGAATAGAGTATGCAAAGTTCGTTGACCTCTAAAGGTCACCAGAGGTCAAATATGAGATGCCTCTATATCTGAAAATTTTCTTCATGGCATGAAGAATCAACATGCGAAGTTTCATCACAATTTGCACAAAGCATTATTTGGGCTATGCCGCACCACTAACTGAACAGCTTGACATCACAGCAATAGTGACCTCATTGCCCGGAAAATTTGAAATGTTGACATAATATTAAGGTGCCATTCAGAATTTTCAATGTTTTAAATTTTTGACTTTTTTTCCAAATTATTTTGACCCTACCACCCAGCCCTAATTTCGATTAATAAAAAACTGAACATGTACATGTACATGCACTTGCATGTACTTGCATGTACTGTACCTATACTTGACCATGAACATGTATACCCATGTACATTTGTGTCTAGTTCAGTGACGGCGTGAAGTTGTCGGTCTTCCTCTTTTGCACTGGCGACCTTCAGTTTTCTTCAGTGTTTTGCCAGCTGATATGCTGTTGGGAATGGTTGCAGTTTTGAAAGCCACAAAGATGACCGTGGTTTTGTCGTTTTCTGGATGAATTGATGACATGTGACATACGGAGTTGTGCCTGTCACGTGAGGTAGCTGAGAAAAACATTCGCTCGTACCCCCCCCCCCCCCCCGCCCTGTTTGCAGGGCGGGGGTACGAGCGAAAGAAAACATCAGGTTTGGGCAGATATCACATCAAATGCTGCGGTCCTCGTAGTCTTGGAGTCCAGTGGTTGAATTATAGTCCAGTTTTTAAAGCGATTGGTAATCGACGCCCGCAGCGTGTTATAGAGCCGATCTAGTACACCTGGTACCCTGCTGCCTCTTAGGCACGGCCTAACCGCTACAAACGCCCGGCGTCCAAGTCTACTGAAAAACCACCTCCCTCTCATGCCACAGTGGGTCTAACAGTCCTGAATCCTCCAATTTTAATATGATTTTGCACATCCCCTAGGGAGTTTGGGATATACACGTACATGACGTACATGTACAGTATATACAGGGGACGAAGTTGGAAAAGAAACACGCATCGCGATATCGGAACGCTTGCGCGTATAGTTTAGGCAAGTCAAAAGATCTATCTTTCTTTGTTTTTTTTAATCTTTTTTTCCATGGAAAGTGAATTTCGATGTTCAATTATTTAGCTTGACCCACCCACCCACAATTTGGAAAAAAGATCGAAATTTTAAAACATTGAAAAGCTGAATGGCCCCTAAGTGTACTTTTCAATCAAATTAATCAAAAAGGGGATAATTTTCATACATTAAGGAGAAATAAAATTCACCTCATGGACCCTTTAACTCTTTTTTCTTTTCTTTTTGCATGTATTTATAAATATTTTAAGTATCACGAAAAAAGACAATTAGACTACAGTATCCCATTGTTTTCAACAACATTCGCTCATTTGGTTAACATATAAAAAGCGGTAAACAGTGGATATTAGGATCTCAGGGGAACTCGTTGTTTTTGAGAAATCAGAGTATTTTATTCACCAACATAGAATTTCCGAGTCTCCGACGAACGTGCACGGATAAACACACGTAAATGCAGACCTGTAAGTTAACAGTGATCACTACAAAATGCATATTAAACGACTGGAATAACTTCAATGTCGTGCTAGAGAGAGTTTGAACGAGTGGTCAACGATACGTACACGATTTATTTAATTTTACTAAATTCTCAATACCTCAGCCGTTTTTGCTGCAGATTATCATTGCATGTTCGTTGGGTTGGAAACATATGTTGGTGTGTAAAAAAACTCAACTTTCACAAAAAATATATATTATATTCTGGATACAAGTGATTCGCATATCATTGACGTATTCGCCTAAAATTAGTCCTAAAATTAGTTTAGAAAATAAAATCTTACAGAGTTACGGTGACCCAACAAGAAAATGGTGATAGAAGGCACATGGATGCATATGGGTCCAGACCAGTATAAACTGCCATTGACCCCAAACAATGATAAATGCCCCCACTTCAGAAATTCAGGAAAAAAATACTCACAACTTCCCAAGGTGTTCGAGACATACATCAAATTAAAGCTAATTCCACCATTTCTTAATTTTCGTGTCATTTTTTTCAGTTGGGGGTAATCTAATGACGTTTGGGAGAAATTTCCATCCAATGATGACCATCTCTTAAAATAATCAAGTTCATGGCCCACGATATGCTGAATTTGAGGGCATGCAAATCGTGATTTGGCGGGCGTAGGCAATTTCGGACCGATTTACTGGCCTGCATCCATATAAAATAATATCTGCGACTTATCCCCTCCCATTACACCCATGTCCATATTCGCCAACCCTGAACTTATAATAGTATGAAATATACATGTACTTGAACCT